CCAAGCATTGTTGCAGGCAGATCAGGGCAGCGCCGATCAGGTGCCTGTGACTCCAAGGTCTGTGCCCAAGCTCTGAGTCAGAATGAGAAGGTCGGGAGCACTGCGTTTGTGCCTGATTGACTGGCTTTTTTGGGCAGTCGACCGTGGTTGCGGCATGAGGAGGTTCAACACCACACAACGCACGTTTCAAACATCGATCTGGCCAAGAAGCAGTTAGCCTGGAACGACAGTCTAGGCAACATGGTTTTGTAGTTGCTCCTGATGATTTTCATGAACTGATGAAGCATGTACATAATGTGCCTTCAAAGACGCATAAGAGCCTTCGGTTCATGTGCTCAAGATTGGAAACAAGCAGTGAACAATGCCCAATACTATATAGGGACTGATTTTAGCAATGGCATGACATGCCCCAAAGCCCCTTACTCCAAGTTTACAAGCCCCTGTACTTTTCGCCTCCTCACTCTCTCATACACTTCGACGAACACTGTAGCTTGGAGGGCCTATGGTACAAGGGGACCCTCATCATGAGGACTCCCAAAGCACAGGATTCTTGTCTTGGAGTCGGTTGGTAAAGGTCCGAAGGTGGCAGGGGGTCTCTGCTCAGGAAGTCGCCACGAGTTCTGTCGACAGAGAGCCCCGATGTTGTCAAAGCCGGGGCCTTGTCGGATTCAGCGCTTGAGGCTTGAATGTTAGGCTTAGCTATGTCTAGTACTTAGGGTTTAGGGTGAACTAGGGTGAACCGCGGCATCCTGTTACACCGTCTCATACGAGCTGTTTGAGAAGTTCCGCTACACAGGGCTTATCAAGCCGCTGCTGTTCCTTTACGCGTTGGAGTCTTAACGTGTGGCTTTCCAGACCAGCCCCGTCCCCAGCGAATACACAGTAGCAACTTCCCGAGCAAAAATCTAGACGAATCAGTGCAAAACGCGTGCATGATGTGGGGCACTTGCATTCTTCCTTTTTGGTCAAGGTTGCTGTGCTGGGGGATTCTTATCATTCAGATCTTGCCGGAACGGCTCTTTCGGGCCTCGAGTACGGATCGGGCGTTCGGAGGCAGCAGTCGCTGCAATGGCAGCACGCATCATGTGAACATTCATCCGCAGTTCCAGGAGCAGTGCCTCGTCATGCGACTTTTAGCTGCCAGAGTGATCCTGTGCTGTGTCGGATGCACCGCCTGCTGTGGCAGCTTGAATCCAGAAACGGAGAATCCAAGCCTTTAATCAGTTTCCCCTGTCCATTCATCCATCCATCGATCGATCTATCATCCATCTGTCTGTGCATCTAGCTATCCATCCGTCCGTCCACCGATCTATCGATCGAACTATCTATCGAACTATCTATCTGTTTATCTACCTGTCTAGTATTGTTTATCTAGTGTTGAGACACTTGGTTTGTGCCCGTAGAGAGATCTCAGCCCGAGGCACTCCGCCCGGCGAAGCCTTTGGCGGCGGCCCATGGAGATGCTTCCGGGCGGTAATTGCAGGTATTTAGGGTCTTAAGAGTTCAGGATACAGTAAGGAGTTTTGGTGCCCTTTCTGTGTTAGGTTCGGCTGGGACATATACCTCAACTTACGATCCTTATAGCGTTCATCTCACGGACTAGTCAGGCTAATGTCTTTTCTGAAAGTCCCATTTGCCAGAATCTTGCAGATATCATTACTACCATGAGTTTCACTGTTCTTGACGATTCATCGGTGGACTCAAGGCCCATGGCTAGATGTGAACCTGCAGATATGTTTGAACCTCGTGGGCCTCGTGTATGAGATACTCCACAGTTAAAGTGGATCTCTCGCTCTCGCGGTCTCGTCACGGTCACGGTCTTTGTCTCTCTCTCGCTCTCTCTCCCGCTCTCTTTGTAACTGTCTTCTTTCTCTCTCGTCGCGTCGATGCTGCTCCCCCTAGGGGGCCTTCTTTCTTCTAAGCTTCCCCACGTCTTTTATATCCTTCATCTTGGTTTTTCCCAGACGATACAAGTTCTGGCCAGAAGCCTGGATGTAGGGAGGCTGTGGGTTGCGAAGCACTGCTTTACTTGGACTCTGGGGATTGCTGGCGCGTCCTGCTTTCGGAGACCAGTTTTCACATTCGACCATGCTATCCTAAGTCATGCTTGGCAAGGCTTGAAACGACAATGCGGCATTACGAGAGAGAAAGAAGCATGGGAGCAAGGGCGCAGGTGACGTTGCAAAGGAGCCAATACCCTCAACTTTCACGCCAAAACACCCTCCAAATTCCAAAGCTCGTCACCCCCGGCCTAAATCCCAAACCATGAAACCATAAACAAACTGCAAAGCCTGCATGATGACTTACTTCGGGTTCCCTAGGATAAATGGTTACATTTTCTGCCACCCTAAGCCCGCGAAGCCCCTAGAAAACCTTCAATCAACTTCAAAGGCCAAACAAACCTCAGAGGTCCCCATCCACTCGAAGCTTCGTTTGCTCAGGAGGATCCTGTGACCGGCTCGAGCCACGAAGTGCTGTCAGAGCTTTCGGAGGAAGAGGCGTCGTCTCTTGCAGCTGTGAGAGCTGAAAGGATCTTATGAACAGTTCCATCGGAGTTCCAACAGCAGCGTTACGAGTGTTGAATGGATGAAGGTTCAGGATGGCTTTCTCAAGAGGTGCCGACAACCAGCTCTTCTGAGTCCCTTGGAGATCCCGGTGCCCGTTAGCTTGAGCTCTCGATAGTTGCCACTCCTACCGGACTCCTACCTATTGAAGTATTCATATTGAACGTTATCGCCATGTGAAAGGCATTCGCCGAAGCTAGCGCAAGCCGAAAGAAAGCAGAATGGTGCTTCGAGGCAGGGAGTACTCAAGCTCATGAAGCCTGTTGGGTTGCCTGTAAAGTTGATGCCGACATGCACCTGCCGGCGAGTCTCGTCGGAGAGACGTTGTCTTTTGTCAAGTGCCCACGTCAGCACAGAAGTTGGTGCAGCAACGGTCTGCCTATGCCACAGCATATGGATTATGTGAAACTGCCCATACAGGGCTCGATGAGGTTCCTAAACTTCCCTTAGCCATGGTCTCGGAGTGCCGATACAGGCTAGCAGGAAGCTGTGTTGAAGGATGTTGGGCTCGCCATTCGCATCATCATGCTGGCGGGGAGGGGGGGGGGGTACCAGGATAGTTAAATGGCATTCTGCATCATTCTGCCGATCAACAGCGGTCTCAGTACTGTTTGTATTCAGCGAATACACAGTAGCAACTTCCCGAGCAAACATTTAGAGGAATCAGTACAAAAAAGCGTGCATGATGTGGAGTACTTGCACTCTTCCTTTATGTGCTTGCTTGCCAGCGAGTGTCTACTGCTAAATCCACTGAAGTTTGACTTCCGAAACCTAGCCAAGATCATCATCAAGATCATCTGATTCATACTATTGTCATCACCAGAAACTTTTCAGGTCAATCAAACCATCGCAGCATTTGCGAGGAGATGTGGCTTCCTGGATCATTCGCTACCCTTGTCACTGTTTCAGACGGTTGGTCGTCATCCTCTACAGAGTGTAAAAGTTGTCAAAGCTTAGTTGCGTGTCTCTTGTGGCTGTATGCTTCTACCTCATGAGATTCCGGGGCTGTAGACGAGAAACCCCAAACTCTCCAGCCTCCAGCCATGAAATCCGAACTGTCACAGCCCCGGCCTCGGAAAAGGTTTCTACCGCCAGCGATGAGGCCCTTGCGTCGAGGATGGACCCGTCTTTGACTCGAGAGGGCTGCCTTTCAGACTTTGAGGGTCTGGGGGTATCGGGCCTCGTAGGGAATTTCGATTAAGGGCCGCCGTCCATCTTTCCTCCCAAAACCCCTCCTTCGCCAAACCTAAATCCCATCAGCCCGAGACCCGCTGCCGAGACCGAGACCTGAACCTGCTCCCCTGTCCTGCTGTCCTGGGAGGAATCCCACATGCGGAAGCATCGGCGGAGACCACGAACCGCCGCCTGCGCCAAAGAAGGCCACATGGATTCTGTGAAACTGCGCATACAGTGCTCGATGAGGTTCCTAAACTTCCCTTAGCCATGGTCTCGGAGTGCCGATACAGGCTAGCAGGAAGCTGTGCTGAAGGATGTTGGGCTCGCCGTTCGCATCATCATGCTGGCGGGGAGGGGGGGGGGTTTTGTACCAGGATAGTTAAATGGCATTCTGCATCATTCTGCCGATCAACAGCGGTCTCAGTACTGTTTGTCCTCAGCGAATACACAGTAGCAACTTCCCGAGCAAACATTTAGAGGAATCAGTGCAAAAAACGTGCATGATGTGGAGTACTTGCACTCTTCCTTTATGGCTTGCTTGCCAGCGAGTGTATACTGCTAAATCCACTGAAGTTTGACTTCCGAAACCTAGCCAAGATCATCATCAAGATCATCTGATTCATACTATTGTCATCACCAGAAACTTTTCAGGTCAATCAAACCATCGCAGCATTTGCGAGGAGATGTGGCTTCCTGGATCATTCGCTACCCTTGTCACTGTTTCAGACGGTTGGTCGTCATCCTCTACAGAGTGTAAAAGTTGTCAAAGCTTAGTTGCGTGTCTCTTGTGGCTGTATGCTTCTACCTCATGAGATTCCGGGGCTGTAGACGAGAAGCCCCAAACTCTCCAGCCTCCAGCCATGAAATCCGAACTGGCACAGCCCCGGCCTCGGAAAAGGTTTCTACCGCCAGCGATGAGGCCCTTGCGTCGAGGATGGACCCGTCTTTGACTCGAGAGGGCTGCCTTTCAGGCTTTGAGGGTCTGGGGGTATCGGGCCTCGTAGGGAATTTCGATTAAGGGCCGCCGTCCATCTTTCCTCCCAAAACCCCTCCTTCGCCAAACCTAAATCCCATCAGCCCGAGACCCGCTGCCGAGACCGAGACCTGAACCTGCTCCCCTGTCCTGCTGTCCTGGGAGGAATCCCACATGCGGAAGCATCGGCGGAGACCACGAACCGCCGCCTGCGCCAAAGAAGGCCACATGGATTCTGTGAAACTGCGCATACAGTGCTCCATGAGGTTCCTAAACTTCCCTTAGCCATGGTCTCGGAGTGCCGATACAGGCTAGCAGGAAGCTGTGTTGAAGGATGTTGGGCTCGCCATTCGCATCATCATGCTGGCGGGGAGGGGGGGGGTGGGGTACCAGGATAGTTAAATGGCATTCTGCATCATTCTGCCGATCAACAGCGGTCTCAGTACTGTTTGTATTCAGCGAATACACAGTAGCAACTTCCCGAGCAAACATTTAGAGGAATCAGTGCAAAAAAAGCGTGCATGATGTGGAGTACTTGCACTCTTCCTTTATGGTCAAGGCGGTTGTGTTGGGGGTTCTTAGCATTCAAACCTGGCTTTGGCACCAGATTTCCTGAGCCGGAACGGCTCTTTGCAACTTCAGGGCCTTGCGCCTGGAGTACGGTTGGGAGCAGTGGAACAGTGTTCTTCATACTTTCAGGCCGCAGGGAATATCGCATCAGGGTGAACCTGTTGAGCCCGAGGCAGCGTTTCCAAAGCCGCCGCCAAAGGCACCGCCCGCGCCACCGAAGCAGGCTAGGGTGGATCAGACGCCTCTTTCTTGGGGGGTCTTCGAGAAGTTGCATCTGCCAGGAGGCCGTGGCACCTGCCCAGGTGGCGTCTACCTGCTGCTCTGTCACAGCCTCGGACATTCTTCCAAAAACGCCGAGCTTCGCGATTGCTCATGGCTTGGAGGTGTGGGGCGACCTGGACGACTTGCGGCCCCTGAGAGGAAATGCAGATCAGGAGTTCCCTGACATCTCCTCGCGCCCACAGTCGAAGGAGGAGCCTGCAGTGGCAGCAGACTGGAAACGACAAGACAATGCGTGTTCTCCGACAGGAGAAGAGAAAGATCGCGGCCAAGAACCTCGTGGAGCCCGTCTCCAAGCATGCCACGCAGAAGTTCGGCCGAAGCCTTAGCGAGCCTCCTTGTTTGTTGCCGGAAGCTGTCAAGAAAGGCATTTTCAAAATAGTCATTGCTCCAAGTAGACACCACAGGACGTGCACAGAGAGCCGCGCCCACCTTGCCCCTGCAGGACAGGGTCTGGTCTTGTGTAATGGTGCACGTCCAGCATCGCATGGGGGAGGACCTTACGAAGCCATCGGAGAAGCGCGGAACGCCCAAGGTTCTCTCGGGGAGGGCGGCTTTGGGCCATGAGTTTAGTCTAAAATCGTGCTACCTGTGATGGTGTTGTTGGCGGTCTATCACGTTCCGGCGCTTATGCATCAATGTCTTTCGGATTTGTGCAATGCCGCTGCGCAAGCGAACTTGTGTCCCAATGTGGAACTCTAAAGACTTTGCCCGTGAAGCCCCAAAAGCCAAGGCCGTGTTAGGGTTTGAGCAGATGAAAGCCGAGCAGGAGAAACAGATCTGTCGCGGCTATACTACAAATCCATAAGTTCGACACCGTGGAATGCTTGCTTGCCAGCGAGCGTATACTGCTAAATCCACTGAAGTTTGACTTCCGAAACCTAGCCTAGATCATCATCTAGATCATCTGATTCATACTATTGTCATCACCACAGAAACTTTACAGGTCAATCAAACCATCGCAGCATTTGCGAGGAGATGTGGCTTCCTGGATCATTCGCTACCCTTGTCACTGTTTCAGACGGTTGGTCGTCATCCTCTACAGAGTGTAAAAGTTGTCAAAGCTTAGTTGCGTGTCTCTTGTGGCTGTATGCTTCTACCTCATGAGATTCCGGGGCTGTAGACGAGAAACCCCAAACTCTCCAGCCTCCAGCCATGAAATCCGAACTGTCACAGCACCGGCCTCGGAAAAGGTTTCTACCGCCAGCGATGAGGCCCTTGCGTCGAGGATGGACCCGTCTTTGACTCGAGAGGGCTGCCTTTCAGGCTTTGAGGGTCTGGGGGTATCGGGCCTCGTAGGGAATTTCGATTAAGGGCCGCCGTCCATCTTTCCTCCCAAAACCCCTCCTTCGCCAAACCTAAATCCCATCAGCCCGAGACCCGCTGCCGAGACCGAGACCTGAACCTGCTCCCCTGTCCTGCTGTCCTGGGAGGAATCCCACACGCGGAAGCATCGGCGGAGACCACGAACCGCCGCCTCCGCCAAAGAAGGCCACATGGATTCTGTGAAACTGCGCATACAGTGCTCGATGAGGTTCCTAAACTTCCCTTAGCCATGGTCTCGGAGTGCCGATACAGGCTAGCAGGAAGCTGTGTTGAAGGATGTTGGGCTCGCAATTCGCATCATCATGCTGGCGGGGAGGGGGGGGGGGGTGGGGTACCAGGATAGTTAAACGGCATTCTGCATCATTCTGCCGATCAACAGCGGTCTCAGTACTGTTTGTCCTCAGCGAATACACAGTAGCAACTTCCCGAGCAAACATTTAGAGGAATCAGTGCAAAAAAGCGTGCATGATGTGGAGTACTTGCACTCTTCCTTTATGTGCTTGCTTGCCAGCGAGTGTAAACTGCTAAATCCACTGAAGTTTGACTTCCGAAACCTAGCCAAGATCATCATCAAGATCATCTGATTCATACTATTGTCATCACCAGAAACTTTTCAGGTCAATCAAACCATCGCAGCATTTGCGAGGAGATGTGGCTTCCTGGATCATTCGCTACCCTTGTCACTGTTTCAGACGGTTGGTCGTCATCCTCTACAGAGTGTAAAAGTTGTCAAAGCTTAGTTGCGTGTCTCTTGTGGCTGTATGCTTCTACCTCATGAGATTCCGGGGCTGTAGACGAGAAACCCCAAACTCTCCAGCCTCCAGCCATGAAATCCGAACTGTCACAGCCCCGGCCTCGGAAAAGGTTTCTACCGCCAGCGATGAGGCCCTTGCGTCGAGGATGGACCCGTCTTTGACTCGAGAGGGCTGCCTTTCAGACTTTGAGGGTCTGGGGGTTTCTTGTTTGGATGTTCGTTACGCCTTGCGGGCCTCGTAGGGAATTTCGATTAAGGGCCGCCGTCCATCTTTCCTCCCAAAACCCCTCCTTCGCCAAACCTAAATCCCATCAGCCCGAGACCCGCTGCCGAGACCGAGACCTGAACCTGCTCCCCTGTCCTGCTGTCCTGGGAGGAATCCCACATGCGGAAGCATCGGCGGAGACCACGAGCCGCCGCCTGCGCCAAAGAAGGCCACATGGATTCTGTGAAACTGCGCATACAGTGCTCGATGAGGTTCCTAAACTTCCCTTAGCCATGGTCTCGGAGTGCCGATACAGGCTAGCAGGAAGCTGTGCTGAAGGATGTTGGGCTCGCCGTTCGCATCATCATGCTGGCGGGGAGGGGGGGGGGTACCAGGATAGTTAAATGGCATTCTGCATCATTCTGCCGATCAACAGCGGTCTCAGTACTGTTTGTCCTCAGCGAATACACAGTAGCAACTTCCCGAGCAAACATTTAGAGGAAGCAGTGCAAAAAAGCGTGCATGATGTGGAGTACTTGCACTCTTCCTTTATGTGCTTGCTTGCCAGCGAGTGTAAACTGCTAAATCCACTGAAGTTTGACTTCCGAAACCTAGCCAAGATCATCATCAAGATCATCTGATTCATACTATTGTCATCACCAGAAACTTTTCAGGTCAATCAAACCATCGCAGCATTTGCGAGGAGATGTGGCTTCCTGGATCATTCGCTACCCTTGTCACTGTTTCAGACGGTTGGTCGTCATCCTCTACAGAGTGTAAAAGTTGTCAAAGCTTAGTTGCGTGTCTCTTGTGGCTGTATGCTTCTACCTCATGAGATTCCGGGGCTGTAGACGAGAAACCCCAAACTCTCCAGCCTCCAGCCATGAAATCCGAACTGTCACAGCCCCGGCCTCGGAAAAGGTTTCTACCGCCAGCGATGAGGCCCTTGCGTCGAGGATGGACCCGTCTTTGACTCGAGAGGGCTGCCTTTCAGACTTTGAGGGTCTGGGAGTATCTTGTTTGGATGTTCGTTACGCCTTGCGGGCCTCGTAGGGAATTTCGATTAAGGGCCGCCGTCCATCTTTCCTCCCAAAACCCCTCCTTCGCCAAACCTAAATCCCATCAGCCCGAGACCCGCTGCCGAGACCGAGACCTGAACCTGCTCCCCTGTCCTGCTGTCCTGGGAGGAATCCCACATGCGGAAGCATCGGCGGAGACCACGAGCCGCCGCCTGCGCCAAAGAAGGCCACATGGATTCTGTGAAACTGCGCATACAGTGCTCGATGAGGTTCCTAAACTTCCCTTAGCCATGGTCTCGGAGTACCGATACAGGCTAGCAGGAAGCTGTGTTGAAGGATGTTGGGCTCGCCATTCGCATCATCATGCTGGCGGGGAGGGGGGGGGTGGGGTACCAGGATAGTTAAATGGCATTCTGCATCATTCTGCCGATCAACAGCGGTCTCAGTACTGTTTGTATTCAGCGAATACACAGTAGCAACTTCCCGAGCAAACATTTAGAGGAATCAGTGCAAAAAATCGTGCATGATGTGGAGTACTTGCACTCTTCCTTTATGGTCAAGGCGGTTGTGTTGGGGGTTCTTAGCATTCAAACCTGGCTTTGGCACCAGATTTCCTGAGCCGGAACGGCTCTTTGCAACTTCAGGGCCTTGCGCCTGGAGTACGGTTGGGAGCAGTGGAACAGTGTTCTTCATACTTTCAGGCCGCAGGGAATATCGCATCAGGGTGAACCTGTTGAGCCCGAGGCAGCGTTTCCAAAGCCGCCGCCAAAGGCACCGCCCGCGCCACCGAAGCAGGCTAGGGTGGATCAGACGCCTCTTTCTTGGGGGGTCTTCGAGAAGTTGCATCTGCCAGGAGGCCGTGGCACCTGCCCAGGTGGCGTCTACCTGCTGCTCTGTCACAGCCTCGGACATTCTTCCAAAAACGCCGAGCTTCGCGATTGCTCATGGCTTGGAGGTGTGGGGCGACCTGGACGACTTGCGGCCCCTGAGAGGAAATGCAGATCAGGAGTTCCCTGACATCTCCTCGCGCCCACAGTCGAAGGAGGAGCCTGCAGTGGCAGCAGACTGGAAACGACAAGACAATGCGTGTTCTCCGACAGGAGAAGAGAAAGATCGCGGCCAAGAACCTCGTGGAGCCCGTCTCCAAGCATGCCACGCAGAAGTTCGGCCGAAGCCTTAGCGAGCCTCCTTGTTTGTTGCCGGAAGCTGTCAAGAAAGGCATTTTCAAAATAGTCATTGCTCCAAGTAGACACCACAGGACGTGCACAGAGAGCCGCGCCCACCTTGCCCCTGCAGGACAGGGTCTGGTCTTGTGTAATGGTGCACGTCCAGCATCGCATGGGGGAGGACCTTACGAAGCCATCGGAGAAGCGCGGAACGCCCAAGGTTCTCTCGGGGAGGGCGGCTTTGGGCCATGAGTTTAGTCTAAAATCGTGCTACCTGTGATGGTGTTGTTGGCGGTCTATCACGTTCCGGCGCTTATGCATCAATGTCTTTCGGATTTGTGCAATGCCGCTGCGCCAGGGAACTTGTGTCCCAATGTGGAACTCTAAAGACTTTGCCCGTGAAGCCCCAAAAGCCAAGGCCGTGTTAGGGTTTGAGCAGATGAAAGCCGAGCAGGAGAAACAGATCTGTCGCGGCTATACTACAAATCCATAAGTTCGACACCGTGGAATGCTTGCTTGCCAGCGAGCGTATACTGCTAAACCCACTGAAGTTTGACTTCCGAAACCTAGCCAAGATCATCATCAAGATCATCTGATTCATACTATTGTCATCACCAGAAACTTTTCAGGTCAATCAAACCATCGCAGCATTTGCGAGGAGATGTGGCTTCCTGGATCATTCGCTACCCTTGTCACTGTTTCAGACGGTTGGTCGTCATCCTCTACAGAGTGTAAAAGTTGTCAAAGCTTAGTTGCGTGTCTCTTGTGGCTGTATGCTTCTACCTCATGAGATTCCGGGGCTGTAGACGGGAAACCCCAAACTCTCCAGCCTCCAGCCATGAAATCCGAACTGTCACAGCCCCGGCCTCGGAAAAGGTTTCTACCGCCAGCGATGAGGCCCTTGCGTCGAGGATGGACCCGTCTTTGACTCGAGAGGGCTGCCTTTCAGACTTTGAGGGTCTGGGGGTATCTTGTTTGGATGTTCGTTACGCCTTGCGGGCCTCGTAGGGAATTTCGATTAAGGGCCGCCGTCCATCTTTCCTCCCAAAACCCCTCCTTCGCCAAACCTAAATCCCATCAGCCCGAGACCCGCTGCCGAGACCGAGACCTGAACCTGCTCCCCTGTCCTGCTGTCCTGGGAGGAATCCCACACGCGGAAGCATCGGCGGAGACCACGAGCCGCCGCCTGCGCCAAAGAAGGCCACATGGATTCTGTGAAACTGCGCATACAGTGCTCGATGAGGTTCCTAAACTTCCCTTAGCCATGGTCTCCGAGTGCCGATACAGGCTAGCAGGAAGCTGTGTTGAAGGATGTTGGGCTCGCCATTCGCATCATCATGCTGGCGGGGAGGGGTGGGGTGGGGTACCAGGATAGTTAAATGGCATTCTGCATCATTCTGCCGATCAACAGCGGTCTCAGTACTGTTTGTCCTCAGCGAATACACAGTAGCAACTTCCCGAGCAAACATTTAGAGGAAGCAGTGCAAAAAAGCGTGCATGATGTGGAGTACTTGCACTCTTCCTTTATGTGCTTGCTTGCCAGCCAGTGTATACTGCCAAATCCACTGAAGTTTGACTTCCGAAACCTAGCCAAGATCATCATCAAGGTCATCTGATTCATACTATTGTCATCACCAGAAACTTTTCAGGTCAATCAAACGATTACACGTACTTAGCAGTTTGGTCATCGTCGTCCTCGTTGCCGGCATCGCAATCGCTGTCATCGTCGTTCCATTAAAATAGCTGTGGCACTCGCAGCACAACTAGGATGGCAGTAAAGGATGTTGGTCATCGCAGCATTTGCGAGGAGATGTGGCTTCCTGGATCATTCGCTACCCTTGTCACTGTTTCAGACGGTTGGTCGTCATCCTCTACAGAGTGTAAAAGTTGTCAAAGCTTAGTTGCGTGTCTCTTGTGGCTGTATGCTTCTACCTCATGAGATTCCGGGGCTGTAGACGGGAAACCCCAAACTCTCCAGCCTCCAGCCATGAAATCCGAACTGTCACAGCCCCGGCCTCGGAAAAGGTTTCTACCGCCAGCGATGAGGCCCTTGCGTCGAGGATGGACCCGTCTTTGACTCGAGAGGGCTGCCTTTCAGACTTTGAGGGTCTGGGGGTCTTGTTTGGATGTTCGTTACGCCTTGCGGGCCTCGTAGGGAATTTCGATTAAGGGCCGCCGTCCATCTTTCCTCCCAAAACCCCTCCTTCGCCAAACCTAAATCCCATCAGCCCGAGACCCGCTGCCGAGACCGAGACCTGAACCTGCTCCCCTGTCCTGCTGTCCTGGGAGGAATCCCACATGCGGAAGCATCGGCGGAGACCACGAGCCGCCGCCTGCGCCAAAGAAGGCCACATGGATTCTGTGAAACTGCGCATACAGTGCTCGATGAGGTTCCTAAACTTCCCTTAGCCATGGTCTCGGAGTGCCGATACAGGCTAGCAGGAAGCTGTGTTGAAGGATGTTGGGCTCGCCATTCGCATCATCATGCTGGCGGGGAGGGGGGGGGTGGGGTACCAGGATAGTTAAATGGCATTCTGCATCATTCTGCCGATCAACAGCGGTCTCAGTATTGTTTGTCCTCAGCGAATACACAGTAGCAACTTCCCGAGCAAACATTTATAGGAATCAGTGCAAAAAATCGTGCATGATGTGGAGTACTTGCACTCTTCCTTTATGGTCAAGGCGGTTGTGTTGGGGGTTCTTAGCATTCAAACCTGGCTTTGGCACCAGATTTCCTGAGCCGGAACGGCTCTTTGCAACTTCAGGGCCTTGCGCCTGGAGTACGGTTGGGAGCAGTGGAACAGTGTTCTTCATACTTTCAGGCCGCAGGGAATATCGCATCAGGGTGAACCTGTTGAGCCCGAGGCAGCGTTTCCAAAGCCGCCGCCAAAGGCACCGCCCGCGCCACCGAAGCAGGCTAGGGTGGATCAGACGCCTCTTTCTTGGGGGGTCTTCGAGAAGTTGCATCTGCCAGGAGGCCGTGGCACCTGCCCAGGTGGCGTCTACCTGCTGCTCTGTCACAGCCTCGGACATTCTTCCAAAAACGCCGAGCTTCGCGATTGCTCATGGCTTGGAGGTGTGGGGCGACCTGGACGACTTGCGGCCCCTGAGAGGAAATGCAGATCAGGAGTTCCCTGACATCTCCTCGCGCCCACAGTCGAAGGAGGAGCCTGCAGTGGCAGCAGACTGGAAACGACAAGACAATGCGTGTTCTCCGACAGGAGAAGAGAAAGATCGCGGCCAAGAACCTCGTGGAGCCCGTCTCCAAGCATGCCACGCAGAAGTTCGGCCGAAGCCTTAGCGAGCCTCCTTGTTTGTTGCCGGAAGCTGTCAAGAAAGGCATTTTCAAAATATTCATTGCACCAAGTAGACACCACAGGACGTGCACAGAGAACCGCGCCCACCTTGCCCCTGCAGGACAGGGTCTGGTCTTGTGTAATGGTGCACGTCCAGCATCGCATGGGGGAGGACCTTATGAAGCCATCGGAGAAGCGCGGAACGCCCAAGGTTCTCTCGGGGAGGGCGGCTTTGGGCCATGAGTTCAGTCTAACATCGTGTTACCTGTGATGGTGTTGTTGGCGGTCTATCACGTTCCGGCGCTTATGCATCAATGTCTTTCGGATTTGTGCAATGCCGCTGCGCCAGGGAACTTGTGTCCCAATGTGGAACTCTAAAGACTTTGCCCGTGAAGCCCCAAAAGCAAGGCCGTGTTAGGGTTTGAGCCGACGAAAGCTGAGCAGGGGAAACAGACCTGTGGCCGATATACTACAACTGCATAAGTTCGACACCGTGGAATGCTTGCCTGCCAACGAGTGTACACTGCGAAATCCACCGAAGTTTGACTTCCGAAACCTAGGCAAGATCACCATCTAATTCACACTATTGTCATCATCAGAAAGTTTTCAGGTCAATCAAACGGTTACACATACCCAGCAGTTTGGTCATCTTCGTCCTCGTTGCCAGCAACGCAATCGCTGTCACCGTCGTTCCATTAAGTTATTTTTATTGCAATCGCAGTACAACTAGGATGACAGTAAAGGATGTTGGTCATCGCAGCATTTGCGAGGAGAAGTGGCTTCCTGGATTATGCAGACGGTTGGTCGTCATCCTCTACAGAGTGTAAAAGTTGTCAAAGCTTAGTTGCGTGTCTCTTGTGGCTGTATGCTTCTACCTCATGAGATTCCGGGGCTGTAGACGAGAAACCCCAAACTCTCCAGCCTCCAGCCATGAAATCCGAACTGTCACAGCCCCGGCCTCGGAAAAGGTTTCTACCGCCAGCGATGAGGCCCTTGCGTCGAGGATGGACCCGTCTTTGACTCGAGAGGGCTGCCTTTCAGACTTTGAGGGTCTGGGGGTATCTTGTTTGGATGTTCGTTACGCCTTGCGGGCCTCGTAGGGAATTTCGATTAAGGGCCGCCGTCCATCTTTCCTCCCAAAACCCCTCCTTCGCCAAACCTAAATCCCATCAGCCCGAGACCCGCTGCCGAGACCGAGACCTGAACCTGCTCCCCTGTCCTGCTGTCCTGGGAGGAATCCCACATGCGGAAGCATCGGCGGAGACCACGAGCCGCCGCCTGCGCCAAAGAAGGCCACATGGATTCTGTGAAACTGCGCATACAGTGCTCGATGAGGTTCCTAAACTTCCCTTAGCCATGGTCTCGGAGTGCCGATACAGGCTAGCAGGAAGCTGTGTTGAAGGATGTTGGGCTTGCCATTCGCATCATCATGCTGGCGGGGAGGGGGGGGGGTGGGGTACCAGGATAGTTAAATGGCATTCTGCATCATTCTGCCGATCAACAGCGGTCTCCGTACTGTTTGTCCTCAGCGAATACACAGTAGCAACTTCCCGAGCAAACATTTAGAGGAATCAGTGCAAAAAAGCGTGCATGATGTGGAGTACTTGCACTCTTCCTTCATGGTCAAGGCGGTTGTGTTGGGGGTTCTTAGCATTCAAACCTGGCTTTGGCACCAGATTTCCTGAGCCGGAACGGCTCTTTGCAACTTCAGGGCCTTGCGCCTGGAGTACGGTTGGGAGCAGTGGAACAGTGTTCTTCATAGCTTCAGGCCGCAGGGAATATCGCATCAGGGTGAACCTGTTGAGCCCGAGGCAGCGTTTCCAAAGCCGCCGCCTGCACCAAAGAAGGCCGAAGAAGCGCCGCCAAAGGCACCGCCCGAGGGCTGCCGCTCTACTTCGAGAAAAGTCATCCTGATGTTCGGGACGCCAGCATCTGGCAAGGGCAGGCATGGTGGACGAGTTGCAACGGCCCTGGGAATTCCGCAGCTCTCTACCGGAGACATGCTGCGAGAAGCCGTGGGTTCTGGCACAGAGATGGGTTTGAGGGGCAAAGCGTTCATGGAACGAGGGCCGCTCAGCTAATTGCCTTTTTTTGCGTGTCCAGTTCAGAGCGCGGCAACGTGTGATCCACCTGAAATTCGTCCGTTGCGAGGGCTGCATAATTTTGGGACGCTTGCCGGTTCGGGGAAGGGGTTGATGAGGTTTGCAAGTTATGAGGGCAGCTTGTACAGTGTGCAGCCTGTTGTGGAAAGGCAGCTCGTGAGCGACGACATCCTCATATCCATCATCAATGAGCGGGTCAAAGCTGCGGATTGCCTGAAGGGGTTCATCTTGGATGGGTTTCCTCGCACCATTGCCCAAGCCGCAGCATTGGACGAGATGCTGGCAGCTACCGGCGAGGAAGTGAAGTCCGTCTTGGAGCTCAGTGTGCCGGATGAAGTGGTGATTGAAACGATCGCCGGTCGCTGGATTCACAAAGCTTCAGGCCGCGCCTACCACGCCAAGTGGAAGCCCCCGAAGTCTTTCGACGGCAAGAGCAAGCCCACGCCCGCGAACATGCGGGACGATGAAACCGGAGAAGCTTTGACGCAGCGTACTGACGACAATCAGGATACTCTGCCCCAAAGGCTGGCTGCCTTCCATACCGAGACGGCGACTGTGCTTGGGCACTACAAGTCTCGTGTGGGTTGTCGTGTGGCCCGGGTGAATGTGGGCCGTTCGCGCAAAACGGAGGACATTTGGGCAGACTGCGCCAAAGCTTCGGGCGTGAAGCGTGACCAGATTATCCTGATGTTCGGGACGCCAGCATCTGGCAAGGGCACACATGGACGACGAGTTGCAACGGCCCTGGGAATTCCGCAGCTCTCTACCGGAGACATGCTGCGAGAAGCCGTGGATTCTGGCACTGAGATGGGTTTGAGGGCCAAAGCGTTCATGGAACGAGGGCCGCTCAGCTAATTGCCTTTTTTTTTGCGTGTCCAGTTCAGAGCTCGGCAACGTGTGATCCCCCTGAAATTCGTCCGTTGCGAGGGCTGCATAATTTTGGGACGCTTGCCGGTTCGGGGAAGGGGTTGATGAGGTTTGCAAGTTATGAGGGCAGCTTGTACAGTGTGCAGCCTGTTGTGGAAAGGCAGCTCGTGAGCGACGACATCCTCATATCCATCATCAATGAGCGGGTCAAAGCTGCGGATTGCCTGAAGGGGTTCATCTTGGATGGGTTTCCTCGCACCATTGCCCAAGCCGCAGCATTGGACGAGATGCTGGCAGCTACCGGCGAGGAAGTGAGTGAAGTCCGTCTTGGAGCTCAGTGTGCCGGATGCAGATGAAGCCCGCTGGATTCACGAAGATTCTGGCCGCGCCTACCACGCCAAGTACAATCCCCCGAAGTCTTTCGACGGCAAGAGCAAGCCTACGCCCGCGAACATGCGGGACGATGAAACCGGAGAAGCTTTGACGCAGCGCCCTGAGGACAATCGGGATGCTCTGCCCCAAACGCCGGCTGCCTTCCATATCGAGACGGCGCCTGTGCTTGGGCACTACAAGTCCCGTGTGGGTTGTCGTGTGGCCCGGGTGGATTCCAATATGGGCCCTGTGCGCAAGAGGGAGGACATTTGGGCAGACTGCGCCAAAGCTTTGGGCCTGGAGGCCTGAAATGCAGAGCCTGCCTTGCCTTGGTAGCTAAGCCAATTCTAGCACGTTGGGTCTGTTTACCGACCATAGACGTAGATATCCGCTTTACCTTTATTGAACACTCTACGTAGACTGCATGAGCGGTTGTACAGCCGGTTGGTTGGAAGTTCTGCGCTGATCAGAGGATTCTGCTTTATTAGGACAGCGGGTATCAATTACCAACCCCAAAGAGTAATGAAACAGATGGTTTCTATGGACCCAGAGGCATGTGAGCACGATTAACCCGAGAAGCCGTCTTGCACGTAGGGACGCTTCGAAGGTACGTACGGGGCGCTTCTGTGGTACATCAGGGGCGTTCAGACGGTACATATGAGATCGTTCGACGGCACATGGGGACAACTCCATGGTGCATAAAGCGGCGGTTCAACGGTACATATGGGGCTCAGCTATGGTACACATGGGCGGTTCGAGGCGTGCCCGTACCACACCGTGTGCACCATCGTACCGTTCCAGCCGTACCAATGTACCGTACCAAATTTAGCATGACGTGACCCCCATTTAGCATGACATATTCTGTGCTAAATGGGGGTCATGTACGGCGCAGCACACATGTCATGCTAAATTTGGTACATGTCATGCTAAGTACGGTGCCTCGCATGCTAAATGTGGTGCACGTCACCCTGTACCGTGCGTACCCATTGTACCGTGCCAGGCGTACCCATTGTACCCTGCCATGCATACCCCCTGTGCCGTTCCCTGCGTACCCCTTGGACTGTACCTGCATACGAGGCCCCGGCACATCCTATGGAGCATTACTCTCGAAGCTAGATAAGGTATGAACAAGCCTGTGCAAAAAAGGATAGCGGTGCTGCGACTGGTACGGACAGAGCTCAGGATCCTCACGGCAATAACAGGACCCGCAACAGAAGGCAGCTTCACGGAACAGTGGAACAGTGTTCTTTATCACTTCAGACCGCCTTGAACTTGTGCGAGGCTGCGCCGAAGGTGCCCTGGGCCTACGAGGTGTGGTGACGGTTGAGTAAAGCCTTGAACATCTGAACGACCACTTTCAGTCGGTTTGGCCATGAACCCTCTGCAAGAAAAGCCGAAAGGAATCATCCTAGTTGGAGATCATTTACGTGAAGAATTGTTAGAGAACCATGTTTGGTTGCCCCAGTGACACTTTCAGTCTTGAGGGAGTTCTGAGATGATGGCACCTTCTGCCGAGATCCTTGAAGTCGCCACTGCAACATCGATTCCGGTTCGTGGGCTCGTGGTATCGTTGCGATGATGAGGGTTTAGCACGTGCAGGGCTCCTAAAGACGAATTGCCAACCTCCGAACACCCCAAGCCCTGAAACACTGCTACAGCCTCCGGCAAAGTTGGCCGCTCGTGCTCATGGCTTGGAGGCGTGGGGTGATCTGCGCGACCTGCGAGCTTGCGCAGAGCCCAAGGCCAGGTCAATATCCAATGTGAGGGAATATCAGCATCAGGATGAACCTGTTGAGCCCCAGGTCACATTTCCAAAGCCGCCTCCGCCAAAGAAGGCCAAAGAATCAAGATTCAAGTGCATCTCTTTTCGATGGGTATCCACCCGATGTCGCAGGCGGCCCCCACGCCACCGAAGCAGGCTGGGCTGGGGTGGATCAGACGCCTCTCCTTTTGGAGGGTCTTGAGGAAGCTGCATCAGCCGAGGTGACGCTGCGACCTCCGCCTCCGGGTGGTTACGAGGCGGGATGTGGGGTTTGGTTCAATTTTCGGGATTTAGGATGTAGGATTTGGAGGTTTTCCTATGAGGATTTGTATGAGGATTTGGGGTACTGAATTTAGGGTTTTAGGGCTACTGTGAAAGCCGCGTGTAAGGTGGTGGGTGCGGCCTGAGCTGGATCTGAAAGCATCCTGCAGCTCCGAATTCTACCAGCTACCGGCCTAAACCTGAAAATGCCAAGACTTTTGAGCTGACTACAGCTCAACTCTGGAGAAGAAGTAGTAGGCACCCCCCCTACCCACTACACTCCGTCATCATCAACTTACAAGCACATCCGTTCATTGTCGTTATTTGTAGCACTGTCGTGATGTCCTACTACACGTTATGGCCTTAAAAGTTCACTGGTCGATTTGGCAAACTCGTGGGGGGGGGGGGTAGGACGACACCGCGGCGCCCACGAACACTACCTCCAGCAAACTCCCGAAAGAACTCCTTGACAAGTGGATTTGGAGGCCATAAGATGTAGTACGACATGACGAAAGTGCTGTAGAGACCGAGTACAATGGATGTGCTGGTAAGTTGATGATGACGATGTCAGTGTTGATGATGTTGTTGATGGTGAGAGTTATGTGGAAAACGATGATGATGTAGATGATGATGAGGGTGACGACGACGACGACGAGCATGATGATGATGACGATGATGATGAATAATTTGGTGGTGATGCTGATGACGATGATGATGATGACGTTCTTGATGACGAAGTGTAGTTGGTAGGGGGCGGCAATGAGTAGCAATCTTCCTCAGGTTACTTCCCTGCGGCAGTTAGAATTAGAACATAACGCCTCCCACACCCTAGTAGTACTAGTAGTAGTAGTAGTAGTAGCAGTAGTAGTAGTAGTAGTAGTTAGTAGTAGTAGTAGTAGTAGTAGTAGTAGTAGTAGTAGTAGTTAGTAGTAGTAGTAGTAGTAGTAGTAGTAGTAGTAGTAGTAGTAGTAGTAGTAGTAGTAGTAGTAGTAGTGGTGGCGGTGGTGGTGGTGGTGGTAGTACAAGCAGAAGCCAGAAGCAGAAGTAGAAGTAGAAGTAGAAGAAGTAGTAACAGTAGTATCAGTAGCAGTATCAGTATCAGTAGCTACCCCACTGGGAACCTACAGGACCGAGTTGAAGGCCCTGAAATCCGGATGCGACGACCCTCAAACCCTAAACCCTTGGCATCGTAGCCTGGACCCGAAACCTTCAATCCCAGCACACATTCCTCACACTCTCATTCCTACAGAGTTTAAGTGTTAAATTTCGAAGTTACCGTTGACCCTACACCGATCCAAGCCCCCTAAACCCTGGTAGAGTCCGGCAACGTCGGGCCGACGGGATCGGCCCGAAACATGTCAGCCTCGAAATGTCCGGGCCCTGTAGGACCGGGACTTTTGCCAACAGAACTGTCAGCCCTACCACAGGCTGCCCGATTTACGCATGGATCGAGGGTTTCAGGTTGTGTCGTGCCTTCTTTTGGGGGGAAGAAAGAGACTTTTCGAGGTGGTTGACGTTGGGAGTTATGGTAGGCTTGGGTTTAAGGGTTTGCCAGGACCGTCCAAAATCTCTCAAAATCTACTTATTCGGTCCTTATTATGCTGTATTCAAGCACGTCTTGAAAAGGTTATCTTATTTGGATCAAGCTAGGGTTTATGAGACTTGAGTCCGACACCTCGAAGCCGTCTTGAGGATTGTGAGTATCAATACGAACAGACGAGTATACATTTTGTGGAGTCACGTATGAATTTTATCTTGATGTATTTGTTTGTCCAAACTGTTTATTTGGTTATGTGCAAGTGCGTGTTTATACATACACATATGACAGAGAGAGAGAGAGAAACACAAAGGAGGAGAGACGTCGCAAGCGTGGATCGTGACACCCACAGTAACCACCACATGGGCTGCTTCTGTGGTGTGAGAATCAGGTGTGGGTGTTGAGTCAACGTGTGCGACAGCTTGCAGAACTTTCGGCTTTGAATCCAAATGTCTTAGCACAAAGTAAACTGTTCCCAAGGGCTGAACCAAGTTCCTCATGTTAGCATATTGAAACCTACAGAAGGTGTTTGGGAGCGCGGCTCCGTGGGAGATGCAGATGAATTTGCATGTAGTTTAGGGTGTGGGGCTTAGGGTTGGGGGCGTAGGGCTTAGAGTTCAGAGTGTGGATTTTTGGGCTTAGACTTTCAGTTCAAACGTGTTTGTTTGATGCCCTAGCTTGCTGTAAGGGTTGGTTTCGCCTTGCCGTGGAAGCCCAGAATCCCATCAGAACATATCATTGTGTTGTTATAGCTACAGTTCCTGCACACAATAGCCGCAACAAGACTACCGAAACATGGTAACTTTACTACAGACAAATCACCGCATTAAGCCGAATCCCAACGACACAGCAAGAAAAGTTCACTCAGCAACCGGTATAATCCTTGTACACCGAAAAGGGACACCCCCTATTTGCTCTCACAAGGTTTAACAGGAGCCGCACATGGGAGTGAAATGCTCTAAAAAAAATTCAGGGCACCCAACATACGCGCCCCACGAACAGTTATAAAACCTTACCTCACATCTCCATATGGCGGCTGCCCAGGTTTGGGGGTTTAACCGGATAAACAGACAAGGCTATTGCCACAATACGTCATATTGTTGCTCAACCCCACATATAGAATGTTGAGCATCGCTTCAATATCAGGTGAGATGCCGACATGGGCTCTCGCATTGGCTGTTTGTACATACTGAAAGCACCGCCACAAAGTTATGGCGGCCGCGTCAAGATGCTGGCAGCGATACGGGAGGGAATGCTCTGATAGTAGGTATAATTCCCAAGACCGTCCCGCGACATCCTGTCAAAGCTATCCATCCCGCAGATGCTGTCTGGAAGCTGAACCTACTCGCGCCAATCGCATAGCGCGTTGTTTTTCCTGGCATTTGAAGTCCTGTAGCTGGCGGCTTCGCCCTGCCTTTGCCGGG